CAATGTGATATCTCTCATTGCCTCTAATAAAGATTTTTTAAATTGTAATGTAATGTATTTTATTACTATAATTATCCTGTTTCCTTTAGTGGATGCTGTTCTAATATTTGTGTGTCCCTTTGTGTTACCCTCATCTTTCCTGTAGTGTTAGATTTTAGGCATATTTCTTTTTAATAGCATGTCATGAGCATGCTTGTTGAAACAATTATTTAAAATCTACCAGGGCAGCAATTATCGCTTTAGTCTGTTTGCATTAAATGTTATATGATTATCTGGACCCCTTTCCACCTTGATTCTGTACGTATTATTTTGCTCTTTACACACAGTTCTTTCCTTTCCTATAGCATTTGTGTGAACTGATTGTATTTTATGACATTGCTAGTACCTCCCGTGCTGATATAAAATGGGTGTTCGAATTATTTAGCTTGAGACAAATGTCACCCATTCCTTGTTTCTGCAATGACGTGTTATACCACAGCTATCCCCATTTTTTAAAGTAATTTCTTTAACTGCTTTGAAAATAGAGAAGTAAGTTTGAATAGTTACATCAGAGACACAAAAGCCTAAAAAGTTGTTAGCTTTGTTTTTTAAGATTTATTTATGGGAGTACACTACCACTGTCTTCAGACACACCAGAAGAGGGCGTCGGATCTCATTACAGATGGTTGTGAGCTGCCACGTGGTTGCTGGGGATGGATTCAGGACCTCTGGAAGAAGACTCAGTGCTCTTGATCGATGAGCATGCTTTTTTATAAGAGTCCGACTCTGGTTTAGGTGGAACATACTAGTTTTCGGGTCTGGTTTTATCTGGAAACTTCTTCAAAGGCCAAAACTGAAGATGTTTGTGTTGTCATCATTAGATTAAACTCTATCATCTGTCATCTCAGGACAGTCCCTGTAGCAAGCAAATGACAAAAATCCTCTTCAGTTACCACCATCTCAGCATGGGTACTTTATGATGATGCTGCCATTATACTGTTCACTATCTTGAACACAATTGTTTGTTCTTTTTGAGGTACATCTTTTAGCAACAGTCTTGCTTTTAATACTAAATTTTCTTTTAGCTTCCTGCATTATTTACCTTGAAATGGTTTTATATTGCCCAAGGTTTTGAAAGATAATTTTGGCTAAATTCATAATTCTAAATGACATTTTTTTCCTTAGTAAACTTTCAAAGACAAGAAGTATGTGTTGACTGATTTCCAATTTGAGTATCAAGCTTTGATGGATGGGCCAATTATTAGCCCAAAACTTACCTTCAGTTCTCTGAAATAAACACATGGCAGGGCGTCCTTTCAGTTCTCCCGTGAATTGCCCTCTGTTCATCTATCTCGCTGTCGTCTTAGGGAAAATGTCTGCAGATCTAACTCACCAAACGAGAACACCCAATAAAGTTAATTTTTTTTTCCTTTTTGGGTCTACCAGCCCATTTGAAATATTTCATACCTAAGATTTGGTCTCCTCAAAAAGCACATCACGTCTACGTATTATCAAGGACATGCTCAACAACTGGATAACCTCCCTGATTTGTGCTACCTTTGTTCTTTCATTTAACCATTACAGTACTTCCTGCACACTGTTCTGGCTATGAGCTTTGCATGTTTTCAATGGGTGGTCCTCATGGTCTGAGGTGGCACAGCAGTCCCCAGACAGCATCTCCCTGTTCTTTCACCAATGTGCTTTCAGATTCACTAGAGGATTGTGAAAATTCACAAGTGTGATTTCTGGTCACAAGTTCATACAAATATCCCAGAAGGCTCTTTTCCTCTCACCATGCAGAGACACAACAAATTTCTTTGTTATCTAGTTCTGCTTGATTTCTGGATTTGTGTAGCAGTCCCTGATATGGCCCCTTTCACTGAATAGGTAGAAGCATTTGTTCCTGCTTATAAGGCTTGGTGGCTGAAACCAAACCTCCAGGCCACGGTGGACACTCCATTCCCTGGATTATATCAGCCTATTATATCTGGCCTCCATGGATTTATTCCTCACTTTTAACAATTTCTTTCCTTTGTTTACAACCTTGCAATGCATTTTTTAGAGTATGTTTTGTAGACCAGTGCCTTGTTCAGTCGTCATCAGAGATACTTCCTCCTGCAGTAGTCGGGAACGAATACAGAGACCCACAACCAGACATTGTGCAGAGAGTGAGAAACCTCGAAACATTCAGCCCTACAAGGAATGTCTCTCTCAAACCTCTCCCCTAAGAGCTCAGGAAATTGTGAGGAAGAGGATGTGGGTAGATTGTAAGAGCCAAAGGAGACAGAGGACACCAAAAAAACAAGGCACTCTAAATCAGCACAAGCAAAGCTCATGGGAACTCAGAGATACTGAAATAACATGCATAGGACCTGCACAGGTCTGCACCAGCTTCTCTGAGTGTATACTATGACTTCCAATTCAATGGTGTTTTATGGGATTCCCTAGTATACTAAGAAAATCTCTGATTCTTGTGCCTTCTCTTGGGTTATTTTCCTTCTCTTGGTTTGTTTTATCTTATATTTTAAATGAATGAATGAATAAATAAAATAAATAAATAAATAAATAAATAAATGCCTAACCACTACAAAAATGGTTAAAAACTGAACTGTAATTTATACCTACTGGAAGAATAAAAATCAGTTTTCTCCAAAAAGTGCCACTGGCTATTTCTACCACTCCAGGTCGGGTCTCATTCATGTTCAGCAGGAGTTGGCCAGCATTCAATGGACTTCACAGTTTTGGGAGTGTGTGCTTTTATTTGATTATAGTTCCCTATTTTGTTTTGTTTTGGGGGTGTGATCTTGTTTTTTTTTCTCAGTTTGGGAGTTTTGTTGTTTTATTGGATTTATGTTTGGTTTTTTTTGAAAAAGAACTTAAAGTTGAGGTGAGGGGAGGATCTGAAAGTACTTGGAATATGATCAAAATATATTTATGTTTAAAAATCATTTTAAATAAAATATGCATGTATAAAAAGAGTATACACACACACACACACATATATATATATGCATATGTCTGGAAGTGGGTATATCTTATTGCAGACAGAATAATGATTACTCTGTAACTTAAGCTACCTTACTGATCATGCAGCTCAAGTTTTAAAAATTGCTCTTTCTGGGATATTTTTCAGGAAAACAAATATAATCTACAATTTAAATTCTCTTTTATTGTATTTCACTATTCCTTAGTAGCCAGGCGTGCTGAAAAGACAAAATATTACTCATTATCCCCTAAATCAGGTCAGCTTCTATGTCAGCACTAGCACTGTCTTGAAGTACCTAATGTAGTCTCCTCTCTCTCTCTCTCTCTCTCTCTTTCTCTCTCCCTCTCTGTCACACACACACACACACACACACAATTTCCAGAATTGAAGGTATAGTTCAGTTGTGTATAAACATTGACTTTTCATTAAAATTGAAAGTCAAGGGGCAAAATTTAATTCAGGGTTTTAGTTTTCTGAAATTTTGTGATTTGTAAAGGCTGTAGGTTCTCTTAATTTCCCTCTTGAGAGCATTGTCTTTCAGATGCCATTAACAAGTATCTTCTGAGCCCCCTTGCTCCTTCTGTAACAGCCACCTTTACACCTAAAGCAAGTGTAGCCTTGCTTTATACCTAAATGAGAGGAACTACTGGCATCGCTCACAATTTTTTATGCTGTCTCCTGTTTTCATCTTCTCCAACTTGATATAACACAGATGGAGACTCAGCGATGCGCTTCATCAGCTGCTGTATCTTCACTCTCCACTTCAAACTCTCTAGCTTGCCTCCCCTCAAACAGGGTGAATGAGAAAGCTTACGAGAACACATAACTCAAGACGGAATCTGAAAGATAGATTGAGCCCTAGACTGAACAGCTATGACTTGGTGGTAGCCTATATGTTTGGGATCAAGGATTTCTTCTGCCCCGAGCAGCACTGCAGTGTAAGCTAATTATTCATTGTAAACGTCTTGAGAGATCACAGTTGCCAGACTGTAGAGTTGCCAGAAGACTCTGGCTCAGTTTTGATGATGATGATACAGGGACTATGAAGTGATGGCTCTTCAGCTGAAAAATAATTTTGGTCTTTCAGTCTGTTTTCTTTAGCTCGATGTAGAATATTTTAGCCTTGCTTTTTTAAAAAAAAAAGAACTTGAGTGTTTATGATTTATGTCCCCTTATTTCCAAACTGGATAAAGCACTTTCACAAAGCAGAACACATGTAAAGTAGAAACATTTCCAAAGTGCACAAAAAACACCAGCATTCTAGCTACTTATAAAGACTTAAACCTATTAAAAACTAAATTTTTGTCTCTGGTAATAACTAGAATATTATTGAAATAATATTAAGAATTTAGGACAATCATTTGAGACCATCGTGAGTACACACACATATATAATTTTGGGGAGATGCAAAATCGGTGTCAATTAGAATGTTTCTATGTATGTATGTATGCATGTGTTTTCGGATGCATATGAACACACATAAGTGGAGGCTACAGGTCACCTCGGGCATCCTTGCCAAGGAGCCATCCACACTGGATTTGGAGACTGGGTCTTTCACTGGAACCTGAGTCTCACCACCTGTGTGGGCGGAAACTCCTGGTGATTCTCCCTTTTCCCAGTGCTGAGAATTGCACATGCACACCACAGCATCTGCTGGTTCTGGAGACTGAATTCAATTCCTCCAGCTTCCATGACAACACTTTACTGAGCCAGCTCCACAGGCCCTGTTATTGCCCTCCTTATTTCTTGTTCTATATGAACAAGAAAAACAAGAGATGTTTTTCCACTCTTAATTATTCTTGCTATTTTAAATATGTGTTTAAAGTTTAGACACTTTTTTTTTAAAAGCTATAAATCAGAGATTGGTGTTTTGTCCACTTGTTAGTGAGTTAACTATGAGAAGTACAAGAGTGTCATCAACTGAAAGCAATCAATGACCTATATAATTAAGAAACATCTTACATCTAATAAATATTTTAGTCTAGGATGCACTTATATTTTATTTTTTTTAATAAAGAACTATACCACACACATATACACACACAAACCACAACAGAGGTTGGCATCATGAGTTTAATATATTTTAAATTTAAACATACATTCAAGAAGTACATTTAAAGAATAATATAATAAAATTCTATTTTTTAATCTCTAGTCTTATCCTCACTGATACACTATTAATTTATTAACTAAAAATATATTACTTACTGCATCCCCCAATATCATCAATACCATAGTTTTTATACCGTAAACTGTGTTTTAAAACAACATTGTAAAATATCTGAATTACAAACAAGCCACAATGTTTGGAAATTATTAGCGATGGATTCTTGCTTGAAAGCTACAAACGGTGAGTTAGAGACAGTGCTTTGTGAATACTTTCAGCCAAATTCTACAAGCCTCACCATGGAGGTGACAAAAAGAAGTAAGTGATCAGCTAGAGACCCACTCTTCAGAAAGTCGTGTGAGCTGCAGAAAGATCTTAATCACCGGTCATGATCACTGATCCAGCAGACATAAAATAAATAAACATCAGAGAGAAAAGCATTTGAGTGCACACACACACACACACACACACACACGGATGGACACACACACCACACTTTCACACCACCCCAGAACCTTCCCTATCATACTTATTCATGCTTGGAGGAAGGTTTCTAAAATCCCTTTGTAAAATTGGATTTTTCACTGAACGTATTCTCAAAAACGTGGAAAACGGCATGTAGCTGTTTTAAAATGGTGATTCCGTCAAAGTCATTCTGTGATTTTTTTTTCAATTTAATGTCAATACTCTCACTCTGAATAAAATCCCTTATATCACATCAGCTGGCGATGTCCATTATAAAGGCAAGTGACAGCAAGAGGTTTTGTTGGAGTGATGAGTTCCAGCACACTGTGCGTGAAGTGGCTCTTGTCTGTAGGGCGTGGGATGGAGCACATGCGATTATTTCTTTACACTGGATTAAGTTTTAAACAAGAAAGAGAGAAAACTCCACTGTAGCTGTAGTGTTATAGACCATGGTCAGGCTGATTTATTTGAGGTACTTTTTTTGTATCAGTTTGGAAACAGGTAGACATAGACTCAAGCCTGAAGCTTTCATCTTCTTGCAAAAAACAAAATAAAACAAAACAAAATCTGCCAGTCAGAAGCAAGAAACAGCATTCTCCTAACTCCATTAAAGAGAACAGTTAAAATAATTATGTAGTCTTCCAGCTTCTATGTCCGGCCTGTACTTAATGCATCCCCAATATCCTCAACAGCATAGTTTCACTAATTCAAATCCAGTTCAACATTTTACTTTAGCCAAAGAAGCACAAATGTCAAACAATGTGCGTGTTTTTTTTTAAATTTTGGTTGTTAGTTACTTTATTTCTAGATATTCCATTTTAATTTTAGTTAGTGCAATATGTCAAATGTATTCATTTCCCCTCAATATTAAACTGTCAAAAGAGTTCTACTTAATATCAGAAAATTATTTATATTAGCCTGGAGAAAAATGTTGGCATAGAATTAACCTAGACTCATCACTCCCCAACAAAAGTTAGATTAGGAATCTATTATATAATACGGAGATCTTTAGCAGATTTTACTGGTAAGGCATTCAAACGAGAATACATAATTTTAAATAAATAAGAAGTGTATATACATGATATCATACATGGAGCGATGAAATGACCCAGATCAATTTTAGGAAATTCCCCATTTCCCTGCTTTTTACTGTGGTCATAAACATAACACAGATCTGTTCTGTCATTATCCCAAGCACTTCCAGCTAGTGACAGCCACACGAACGTACTACCATATTTCTGTACTTTTTCAAAATTACATTGGAGCTGTCGTCAAAGTACAGGACCGAGATGGCATTTAGTTTGGTTGGAGCACAGCAAGGCTTGGGAACATGGTCAGGGAACATCAGGTGTACCTGGCAAGAGAGAAGGGGAAAAAAGAAAATGTGTCTTTTAGAAAAATGGGGTAAACATTTTATTTACATCTTTAAGAATATGATGTTTATATTACAACTCTTTGAAGTGGGAACTCATCACCTGGCCCCTTTATACCCCGTAGATGACTGGGCTGGGGGATGACTGGGCTGGGGGGTGACTGGGCTGGGGGATGACTGGGCTGGGGCTGAGTGGCAGGACATATTCTCAATCACCAGTCACTAAGAATCAACCCACAGTTCTAAGTAAGTATGGGACAGGAGTTTGAAACGAAGTTCATCAAATAAAGCAAACCCTGTAGGGATTGTCAGCAGAATTTTTCTGAGAAAAAAATAAAACTTAACATTTTGCATTGCCCTGCTTGTAATTGACTCTGTATCTTCTACATACACTACCAGAGTAACAGAAGCTATAGGCTCAAGTCAGTGAAGATGTACTTGGACTACAGAAAGTTCTAAATCTGCAAAATATTGTAATAGGATAGTTAAACAATACATCATAGGCGTTGTGCCAACTGTTTCTCTTCCATGGAAAAAATAAGCTAAAAACCACAACGAAATAAAATCTATATTTGTTTTCCCTGAACTTGGGGCCCTTTTCCTCCTACTGGGTTGTCATAGCCAACCGTGATGTGAGGGTTTGTGCCCAGTGTTATTATAGCTTGTTAGGTCATGGTCACTGGATATCCCTGAGAGGCCTATTCTCTCTCTCTCTCTCTCTCTCTCTCTCTCTCTCTCTCTCT